TATCAACTGATTCAAAAACGACTTCGAACAACTGAAAATAATTTAAATCAATATAAACAACAACCAATTCATGAATCAATCGATATCAATACACTATCAACAATTATGACTGCATTTGTTCGTCAAGGTCAACATAAATTATGTGCAGAGTTTGAACGAAAAAAACTTATATTACAATTTGATGCCATTGATCATCGTTTAATTAAAACATTTTATAATTTAAATCCCACTGATGATCAAGTAAGTTAGAACTATATTTCCTTATGAATATTTGATATGAAAATATAAAAATATAAAATTATTCGTTTTAGATTCGTTCAGCTAAAATTATTTGGCAAGCTGCACAAAGTAAACTACATGCTGAAGAACAATTAGCCATTCTCAAACAACGTATCTATACGAAACGATTACCATCATCATTGAATATTCTCGATCATTCCATCGATAATGTTGAACATCTACTCAAACAATCCATAATCAATCGAGATAAATCTGCTACATTATCATTTCGTCGACTTAAAACTATTGCTCAATTTAAATACGATATAATGACATTGGAAATGACAACAGTTGAAGAAATAATTCGAAGTCATGTGAATATTATTGCTGATGAAAAGAAGAAACTTATCGATTCTGCTGGTGGACAAGTACCGATTCCAAAGTCACTCGTTCAAATTATGAATGCCATTGCAGCACGTCAAAGCAATATGGTTCAACGATCTCAATGCATTTTGAAGAAAAAATTATCGGTTTTCGACGACGCTCCGATGACAATAAACATGGCTGGTGCCGTCGGAGCAAAGTAAGAAATAACTTCAGTCATATTTTTCCATCATCGCCCATCGTTGAAGTAGCCTCTTCTCTAACGTCTAAACATTATACATATCTTACAAATGGTCCAAAATATATACCGCCTGTTATTTCGTTGTAAGCATTTGTTTCAGACATGTATTGTAATGCTTTTCGATGATAATCATGTACACTACCAAGATGTAGTACTTTACTTTTATCCGTAGGTCGTATAATAATATTGGACTTTTTAATATGATGCCGAGTATTTCTTATTAATCGAGATTCATATTGAGTACGTGCCAATAATTTTGATGGTAATGGTGTAGTATATAATCGGCGAAGAAGATTTTCTACAGCTGTAAAGAAATCTTTTGTACGTTGATCAGAATAAGATATGCAGTTGTTTGTTAAACCAGTTTTAAAACTTTGTACAATACTGTTATGTTCTCGTAGAATAATTTTGTCAATATTTTGATTTCGAAAGCGACTTTGACATGGC